GCCGTCTGCAAAAATCGCTCGCAATCCGATCGGCGACACGACGACGTCGGGCAACACGCGCGCGCGCGCGCGCGATCGCCTTCTCGTCGATTCGTTTGCGACCTGTCGGGCCGTCCAATTGTCGCGGCTCGTATTAACAGTCGTTAATACGTGAAACTCGTCGCAAGTGCGACACTCGCGGTCCCCGCATTTGCCGCATTTGAGTTAAATCTCGGCTTGCCAGTTGAATCTTACGATGCACGTGATGACGTATCTGTAGTTGCGATTCCACTTAAAAGAAAAAAAATAAAATGTCACGTTCAAGTTGAAATTCATGTCCAAGCATTTCGCTCGGGGCAAGTTGAGAGAGACCGGCAACGACTGCATTTCCAAACGAGTAAGTTGAATAGCGCGACAGTCGCGCTGATAACCGGTTACTATGACGCGTCTCATTAAGTTATACACACGAAATACAGCGAATTGCATTCGAGAAATCGGCTACACGTAGCCGACTAACAGACGGCTAACGAAACGGGAGATGAAAGCTACACGCGTCTCGACTTACACTTCTTCTAGCCATATCTCTGCTAATCGAGTCGTCACGTTGAAGCTTCGTGCAATCAGCGGAAGCGAACGCGTTACGCGTCGACGCGCGGGTCAATATGGGAATGTCCGATCTCGCGAGAGAATCGCGCGCGTCGCGCGATGAATCCAACGCGCTCGTCTCCGCGCCCCGTGGAAGAAGGTGAGAAGGGGCGAGGGGAGGGAGGAGGTAAGAGAAGACGACGAATTCCCACACAGGATTGCCCGTTTAAGCATCGCAAGCGCGACGTTGTCGCCGTAAATCCTCGATTTCGTAGCGGCGAGTAAGTCGAGAGTTCCCAGGAGGCGCGCTCCGTTTTCTCCGTTCCATCCAAGCGCTAGCGGTTTCTCGCCGCCGCGGCCTGCTCTAAACCGGCCTGCGATTAACGTTCGCAATTTACGCGCGGAAGCCGCGCGACGCGCCGTGCACTCGAAATGATTTATACGCGCTCCGTCTCCGAGTACGTGACGCGTCGTTTACCACCCGCTCCGGCGAAGATTAATTAACCCCGTGGCGTTTCAGGGAGAGAAACGTGCTCCGCCTCGGGGGCCGCGGCGCGCGGGGGCGGGCGGGAGCGGGAGCGGGAGGGGGAGGGAGGGACCCCGGCGACGAGCGGCTTCGGTTTCTTAATCCAATTTCGTGGTGCATTAATCTAATTATGCCTATGCATATGCACGTGACGTGCAAGTATGCCGGCCGGTCGCAATGCCGCTCGGCGCCCGGACGTCGGAGGGAGCCGTCGAGAGTCGGCAAGAAACTCGTCTACACACACACACACACAGGGTGTCCCGGAATCACCGGCCGATACCTCGCCACCTACCCGCCTCGCGCAGGTACGAGGGATGATCGCGAAATATCCGCGAAATGTCCGAGTCCGACCGGGGAGGAGGACGGCGTCGACGCCGGCGGTGAAGATTGAATCCGCCTTCAGCGGAGGAAATTTTGCTGAGGATGAGACGTTTCAACGAGACGGAAACATCCGAGGCCGTTTTTCTCGACGCGCGAGTATCGGGAGTATGCAAAAGCGCGCAGCGGCAACGAGCAACGAGCAGCCGGTCTCTCGAAACTTTCGCTTCGACCCAGTAGCGGCACCAAGTTTCACATTAATTACATCATCGATTCGCGCGCTGATCCTGTGATAGGGACCGCTCGCGCCCAGATGTAACCGCGGAAGTTCACGCGCGCGCGGGCGAGCGCGAAGAAAGCAGTAGTCGGAGAAGCAGGGCTGGGGAAGGTGGGCGAGAAGGAGGGCGAGAGAGGAGGGCGGGGTAGGAGAGCGAGAAAGAAAGGGAGAAGCGAGGGGTGGTGAACGAAGGAGTGTGTCGAATAACTTCCTAGAGGCGCGCCTGTCACGAAGCCCCGGGTCATTGGTCACCTCTCTTCTTATCTCGCTGTGTCTGCGGCCCATCTTGAAGGAAGCTTATGCGCACAGAGAGCCGTTGTACGGTTCACCGTAAGCGGAATTAATCCATCTAGCACCTTCGGGATTATAGAAGCCGGTTGCCGCGCGCCGCGGCGCTCGCGGAAAAGTCGGCCTCGCTGCGAGACTTTCGGTCGACGTTATTATCGCGGGGCGGTTGGTCATCGCGGGATGACGGGTAACTGCGAGTAACGTACGCGAGTACGTTATGCGTTATAGACGCGGGTCATATCGGGTTGGCAGATGTCGAATCGGACACCCTCCATCTCGGAGTTTTCCGCCTCCGAGGATGCCGACGACTCGGAAAATGCGAGCGCCCCAACACGTCGCTCCGTCGCAATTCGCGCCGCCCGTCGCGGCGCTCTATTCTTCGTCGCTCCTTTTTCGTCGATTTTGCGGTGGAAACGCATTAAGCGGCGGAGACGAGAAAAAAAATTGAATTACGCGGCGGGCAGCCGGGTTCGTTAAGAGGAGAGCACACCGGCACTCTTTGCAAACCCAATTAAAATCCCAAGAGCTACCGCTCACCGGGTCAACTCACTTTGCGCATAATCCGACTCGCGCTTGGAATTTACGGCAAGGAAGGAAATTTAATGGCGAGATGAGTTAACGCCTCGGGGGAACACCGAGTGCTCTCTCTCTCTCTCTCTCTCTCTCTCTCTCTCTCTCTCTCATCGCTCGGCAGCTCCGCGAGCTGCTGCTTCCAGCCGCCGCGGCGCGTTGAAATTTCCGCGTCGATGTCGGCGCGCCCGGCTGTGTGTGGAAGCGATTGGCCCGTGGAATCGTTTAATCCGGACCGAGGAGCAAGCAACGCTCGCCAGCCACGAGTCACGATCGTTACTTTCCTCCGAGACGAGATTCCCTTTGGAGAGAAATCCGAAACAATCGTCGGCACGCCCATCTACGTACACTTGTGCTTCGTGCGCTTGCGCGCGCGCTCGTTAGGTAACCGGTAACAATGTTTCGTCTCGGGCGCATATAGATATCGTCTTAATGTAACGTAATAACCGTGAGCTATCGCAGTTATACGAGTTACTCCGAGCCGGTCTCGTCAAAGTCCCAAAGCACGACCATCTCTCTCTCTCTCTCTCTCTCTCTCTCTCTCTCTCTCTCTCTCTCTCTCTCTCTCTCTCTCTCTCTCTCTCTCTCTCTCTCTCTCTCTCTCTCTCTCTCTCTCTCTCTCTCTCTCTCTCTCTCTCTTTGCCCCTCGCACGCGCGTTCTACGCGGACGTTTGGGCGGAATTTATACTCCCAGCGGACTTTCATCGCGATCAATTTTCTCCTCTTTTGCTGGAATTTTATTCAGCTTTTTTTCATTCGTGACTCGATAGCTTCTTTCTTTCGGTCGAAGGTCGCGAATCTTCTCGATTCTCCTCGCTCCGTTGCGTAGCGCTGGAAATTGCGCGTGTTGTTTAATGGAAACCCAAATAGGGAAAGAGGCTCTCTCTTTCTCTCTCACACACACACACACACACACATACACACATACGCGCGCGCGTGTTCCCAATGTTTCATCCATTATATTCCAATGCCGTAAGTGCAACGTCATATCATCCGACCCGTGGTATCGCGAATTATCGCGCCGCTTTCGTATAAGGCGCGTATCGCAAGTCCGTCGCGTTATTTTGCGAATTATCCCGATAATGGAAATCCCGCCGGCGGTCTTTTTGTCGCGCTGACGTTTCCGCGTCGCGATCGACGCGCGAGCGTGAAGCGAGCGTTTTACCGCTGATCGCGACGCGTGACGCTGGTCGCAGTGACGACCGTTACTCTCCGCGGATGAGATTCTCCTTGGACGTGGTGTCAAACACAATCGCGGACATAGCCGAACGAAAAGCGCGACTTCTCTCACTTCTTGTCCTCTCTTGCTCCCTCCTCGTTCGACCTGGCCGTTTCCGCGTGTGTGCTTCGTTCCGCTTCTCGCTCGAGGTTTTCCCCTCCCCTCGATCGCGTTTCCCATCTCCCGGTCTCGAGTAACGATCTGGAAAGCAACGACGACGCGGTGTGCCCACGGTACTGCTGATTACCTGCCATACGCAGTTTCGAGTGGTGGCTACCCTCGCTCTGCGGAAATTATCCAACCGGTCCATAATTGGAACTTGACTAATGACAAGTCGGGTCATTGCGTATATTATAGCCACGGATCGGCATTAGGTCTCTCTCTCTCTCTCTCTCTCTCTCTCTCTCTCGCGCGTACAGGCGCCGGACGCTTCACAGAGTCGCGCGAACGGCAACGTGCGCGCGCTCCGTCCCTCTCGCTCCCCGTCTCTCTCGCTCCCCACGTGGGAAAGGACGTATTAAAAGTGCATCAAACGGGAGGGAAGCGGCGAACGGAGCGCGGTGCCTTTCGGCACCGACGCGTTCGTCTGTCGAAATTAACACGGTAAAGGCGGACACCTCGAGCGCGCGCTTTCGCAACGGAGATTAGTCGCGGCGCGAGCTCCCAGCGGCGAGGCCTCGAGCACAAATTATTATCGCGATGCACGAGGAGTGGGGCGCGAGCGGAATTCGATGTGTCTTGTGCGGGGGAGAGGGGGGGGGATAATCGGCGGGTCGAGGTGGGTCTCGTTAGGTCGTACGTCGCGGTATCCTGAAGCACCGCTGAGATTTATTCGAAATATTTACACGCAGTGTAGTGCGACGCATCGCATCGCCATGACGTGGCGTTTCGTCTGATTTCGACGATCAGTAGTGGTCCATTGAGACCGGTCGTGTGTATTTCACGGAAATATTTTTTCGAAGGTACAGAAAAACGTAAGATGGAATAATCGATCAATTATACGGATCTATGCTGCGATGAAGACGAGACGGCCGAAAAGTGGGAATTAGCGTTGGCCGCTAATTTGGAGTGAACGATGAGAGATGCCGCGACGTTTAGAAGCAGATCGGACTCGAGCGTCACGCATATGCGAGCTTGATCTCTTTGCCAATTAGCACACACACACACACACACACAGAGAATAAAGAATAAAGAATAAAGAACTTCTGAATAGCGTCCTCCGTTCTTCTTGTTCGCAGATGGGGCATAGAGGAGGAGCGACGCGCGGCCAGCAGGAGCAGCAGTAGCGTTGAGCTATCGTCGGGGGCCTGATCGTCGGTCCCTGTCGAGCGACCCGATCTCGCGGCGGGGGACGCGGGGTCGCGGGGGTGCCGGCGGTGCGGCGCGATGGCCGCAACGGACGGTCAGATCGTCGTCGCGGCGGCACGCTGGGCCGAGGAGGCGACGTACCTGCGCGAGTTCGTCTCCAAGTACCGTCTGCCGGCCGTGATCAAGATCACCAAGGGCCAATATGGCGGGCTGGGCGTGCCGACGCTACCGGCGCCGAGCTTGCAGAGCACCGCGTTGCTCATATCGGCCGGTCGTCGGCGGAAGATCGTGGCGCAGGCGGTGAAGATCAAGGAGGGCCGCAGGGTGGTCGGCGTCGGGCCGAGGCTGGCGATACCGGACTCGTACGCGGGCTACTTCGAGATCCTGAGCGAGGAGGGTAGAGCGGTGCGCGGTATCGAGTCGGTAAACGAGCTGTCGCGGAGATGCCCGGAGGAAGGCGCGCTGGTGCGCGAGACGCTGCGCGGCATCGCTTGCCGGGTGGACGATGAGTCCGGGATCGTGGTGCCGGAGGGCACGAGGGCCCTGTCGGCCGGTGAGACGATCGTCACCGCCGGTGAGGTCGCGCTACCCGGCAGGGGTCGATTCCTCCGCTGCGTCGACTGCCGCGGCGACAGCGTGCTCTTGGCGATGGATCAGCGCGGCCGTTTCAGCGCGTTGGCGCGCGAGGACAACATCAGCGGCGTGCACACCGCCCGGGCGCTCCTCAGCAAACGCCTGCCGCTCACGGTGAGATTGGTGCACGGCCAGCCGCCCAGGGGGCTCAAGTCGTCGTCGCAGTTCGTGCCCGAGCTCAGGCTGCTGTCCACCTTCGAGGAGGAGCACGTGTTCGCGTTGCCGTTGCAGCGAGAAGGCGCGGCGGTCGCGCTGCCGCTCGCGGCGCCGCTCAAGCTGGTCAAAGCGCGGAACGAGGAGGCCCTGCGCTCCATGCATGAGTTCACGAGGCTGGTGGAGCGCGCATCCCGCTTGGTCGCTGATGTGGCCGACCGCGCGCACGTGTTGGACGGTCGTCTCGGTGAAAGCAAGCAAGCCTCCAGGCAGACCAGGAGCGCGTCCGGCTTCCTCAGGCGGCCGTCCACCAACTCGGATCACGCGCCTCCGCTCGGTCATCATAGAAACGGCAGTGCCGGCCATCATCATCATCATCATCATTATCATAGCAATGGACATCAGGCGTCCAGTGGCCATGCGGGATACCGGGACGAGAACCGGGTGCCGCCGTCGTCGTCCGCCTGTACCGAGGAGTACGACGAGATCGACCAGATATACGACTACGTGCGCGGCTTCGCGCCGTTGCCGAAGAGCGTGAGGTCGCCGTACGAGAGCCCTCTGGCCGCCGGCCAAGGCTCGACCCCGCCGCTCACGCCGGTCACGGTGACGATCGCGCCGTTGTTGGACGACCGACCGGAGCCGCCGCCGATCGAGACGATACCCACGAAGAAGATCCAGGCGGAGAAGCGGACCAGGCGCGCGGTTAAGGAGGCGCCGCAGCCCTCCAGGGTGGAGAAGCCGCCGTTGGCGAAGCTCTACGTGAAGAACAGCGGCACGCAGCGCGGCCGGCCGCTAATGAGGCAGAAGAGCGCGTCGCCGTTGAAGGAAACGCCGCCGGGTTACAAGGGCGGCTCGCCGCTCTTCAACATACGCTACAAGAGCCTGACTAATCTCCAGCAGGCGATGGAGCTCGACGGCACGCTCGACTCCAGCCACTCGGGCGGCAGGACGTCGGGCGACTCTGGCGCGGGTGCTAAGCTGCCGGAAAAGAGGTAACGATAAAACGATACACGTATCCCCCTCGTTCTATCCTATGTCGACCTCACAGGAGGAGGAAACGCAAGACGAAAGTGTCCCTCGCGAATCCCTTGGATGAGCCTTTTGCCCTTGGGGTTGGTCGATGGATGAGAGCAGCCAGTCGAGGATAAGAGACAAGTATTTTCTCCTCGCATATTCGGATGCCGGGAACCTCTCTCTCTCTCTCTCTCTCTCTCTCTCTCTCTCTCTCTCTCTCTCTCTCTCTCTCTCTCTCTCTCTCTCTCTCTCTCTCTCGTTCCTAGCTGCCCTCCTGCCTGCGACGTGTTCGAGGCGCATTGAAGTGGGTCGTGACGGGGATGCTTTCATTCGTGTTTCTTCATCCCTTGTCTCGAGAGTCGAATCATCCCTTGTCGTGTCATGTTGTGCAAACGCACGACATTCACGAAGATTGACACGATCGTCTCTCATCGATCTTATCGTGTTTGCGGCTATTTAGATCGAGACGTTTAAGCAGGCCGCGATCGCTGACGAATTTAGTCTGGGAGCTTCGAGGTGGAAGCGGCCTCGGCTGCACGAGACCGGAAACTCCGCCGCCCGCCACGACAGCACCGCTGCCACCGACTAAATGTGGGCCACGTCTGGCTGTCACTGTCGTGGCACCGCGACGTGTCGGCACGCTCTACCTCTAACTCGTAAGTATTGCCGTATTGCCGTATTAAGTTCTCTCCGATCATCCCTCGGTCGTCGTTCGATAGCGATATCCGCGACATGGAAAATTGCTTCTTCGGACAAACGACTCGACTGCCCGTTTCAGGGCACACACGCGCACGTTTCACACATACATATGTCCGCGCGCGAGTATATACGCGCGCGTTGACCCTTTGATCCCTTGCACTATGATTTAAGTCGCATAATAGCACAAAGTGCCAAAGTCGCTGATGAAGCTGCGGTCTGCGATAAATGCCCGGTCTACACGCAAACAACGCAAGTCGCAAAACGCGAATCGCAGACTACAGAATATCGACCGCGAAACACTCGTGGTAAAAATTGTACACACAAGTCTTACTCGCGCTTTCTGTGTGTTTTGCCTCGCGAAACATACGTGAATGAATCGTATTACCCGTTCTTCTTATATTTAGCTTGATACACGAGAGAGGCTGACTCGCGTTTCTTATGTTCGCTGCGAATTTCTCACCGTGAGTCTCACACGATATTGTAGATTAAACGATAGAAGAGATTACAGGATAATCTTGCGCTGCGATATTGCCTGAAGAAATTGGAATCGCGATGTTTCGACAAGTCGCGCGGCTCCCCTCGAGCATCGGGAGCGAAAAACAACGTTGCTCCCCGAGCGCGTTTCCCGTATTCGCGGATGATACGCTGTCGGGTGAGCGAGCAGGCGGGACTATTTGTCGAACGCGCAGACACGCACGTCGCAATTAACTGTGCTGAGGGAATACCGGTTACGACGTAGTTACAGCGTACTTTGTCCGGGAAGGAGGACTGAATCGTTAAATTCGCGGGAGCGACCCAGGATAGGCGGGATGATCCTTTAACGGAGCACTTTACTGGGCGTTATAAGAGACGCGCCGGAGCTGCTTCCCTATTGCCATAAGTCTTTATCCATTTAATCGCCCCCCTCCCTCGATACCACCTCCCCCGATACCATTCTCCGCCCGATTCTCATAAGGATGTCTAGGAAATGCACTTGTCCCGGGCGCGATTCAGGAAGCTCCGCCAGGATTACCGCCAATTACCATCCGCGGAGGAATCCATTCTTACGGCGTAATCGATTCGCATGCGGGACACAAAGGCCCTCGTAAAGCGCGTTTGAGTCGTGTGCGCGCACACACACACACACACATTTTACGAGCTGCGCCGTCGTCGTCCTATGAGTCTATCTCGAACGAAAATCCTCGTCGAGCGATCTCTCGTCCTCGATGCTGAAAAGTGCGAGCGCGAAGTCAGCGAAGAGTGCGAGCGCGACGTCGCTCGCACAGACTCCCCGAAGTTGTCGCGTGAAGAGGAGCGACATTTCGCATCGACGCGCCGCGCCGGCGATATCGCACGGTCGTTCGCCGTGGCGACGGCCGAAGACGAGGGTAATCTCCGTCGACGATCGTCTCGCTCGTTTCCCCGTCCGCTAATCCGCCGATGAAAATCGACAGCGACAGCGAGAGATTGAAAGCGTTTCCTCGTCACGGGCCTGCCTCTACCGTGGCGGGCGACGAGGCGTTTACGGGAGGAAGTCGGGAATCACAAAGCTTCCTGCTGCGTACATCCGCAATCCAGCTGAGATACCGGTTGGTATTCCCAAGCCGTGGAAATTAGCGAGGTCCGCGTAGGTTAATCTGCCGTGGCCTAACTCCTCTTTCTCTCTCTCTCTCTCTCTCTCTCTCTCTCTCTCTCTCTCTCTCTCTTTCTCTCTCTCTCTCCCTCCCTCCTTCCCCCTCTCTCTCTCTCTCTCTCTCTCTCTCTCGCTCTCCTCCCCCTCCCTCTCCCCTTATCGTTCTCTCAGCTTCTTCGTCTCCCTCTCTCCCTCTCTCCGCGGGTGCTGTTTAGGGGGGACTCAGCTTCGCCTCCTCGCGAGAGGACGGCTTGGAAGCTGGCGAGAGAGAACAAGAGAGGGAGGGAGGGAGGGAGGGAGGGAGAGAACGAGCAGATAGTTCAACGGTGGACTGGCGGTGGACAGCCTCGGGGTATATAACGTCATCCTCGCTCGGTGCAACGCTATAATAGCCCTGGTTCGCCGCGGAGTCGCTCCGTGAGCGGAATTAAACGAGACCAGGTTCAACGGCTGGACAAACCGTGGCTTCCGGTCGTCGATGCCTTTCCTCCCCTCCCCTCCCCCCTTCCGCCCCTTTACCGATCACCACCACCGCCACCGCCGCCGCCCCGTAGTTCGTTCTATCCGCGTCCTCCGCCCACCTACTCGATCGCCGCGTATTACGGAGATTATGATTGTGCGTGGAGCGATCTCATCGTCGCCGTCGCACGCAAGTGGACGGTTTCCGATTATGCGATCGTGCGACAATCGAACGTCCGGCTGAAGCCGATCGTCGGAGTAAATCGGCGGCCGGGCGAGCCGAGTACGCCATCGCCGCGCTGGACGGCTCTCTCCGTACGGAGGATCTGCGTGATTAGTTTTCTATTAGTTGTCCGTGTGATTAGCGTGCGTGGAAGCGAGAGCCGGCCGGTCGACCGGTCGACCGGTCGACCGGAGAAACCGGACCGCGAACGAAAGGAGAATCACACACGTGGGAAACGTGCGAGAGCGGATGATATCGAGCGGAAGGCTCGCATTCGGCTCGCGTCTCCCACGGTGCGTCTCCCAGTGAGATTTGTATATTTTCCGTGCGTGCAGAGAGGGGGCAGAGAGGGGGAGAGAGAACCTGCGATTTTCGCGATTTTCGCGATTTTCGCGAGAGGCCTCACGCTAGTTTCGGCATCGTTTTCCCCGAGCGCGTTTACACGACACGACGCGCAACTTGGAACTCGCTCCCTCCCCCGCTTCGGCCGTTCTATTCTAAATTGCCCGGCCGTTCGCTTGTCACTTGCGGCTACCCGCAGCGCGGCGCGGCGTGTCGCGCCCATTTCCACGTACATTTTAATGTCCGGGCACTAAACGCCGCGCTGAAAATTACCGGGTGTCTCCCCGAGAAACGAGGGTGCCCGTCGCGTAATCCGTCGGTCCCCCGGCCGCTAATTAATTAACGCGGATCGAAAACACGGTCTTCTTCCTTCCCCCCTCCTCCCCTCCGTCCCTCCGCGCGCGTCTTTACTCTCCGCCGTGTATCCCGGCGCGTTCGGCGTTCGGGTAGGCGTCGGAGGGCTCCGGCTAGAATAAACGGCACACGTTTACGGCTACCTACGTTAAATCGCGTCACGGGGAGGAGGAGTCGCCGTCGATAATTAGAAAGTAATCGCTTCGTGGCTTTTCGCCGTGGCTCGCCGAGAGTCGCGGCCCCGGCCGTGGAGAGAGCGAGCGAGCGAGCGACGGAGAAAGGGAGACTATTATCTCGAAAATTGCTGGGTGCGCGTCGCCCGCGGTCCTCGGCCTCCCTCGGGCCTCGCCTGCGCGCCCCTCGACGACGACGTTGATTAATATCAACAAATTCCTCCGCGCATTCGTATGATTACGCTCGTGGCGATATCCGCGCGAGCGCGCTCGCGCTCGCGCGCGCGCGCGCGCGGCGATGTTGGTTAACGCTCGGCCGCAGAGAGCCGCGCGACGACGCGCCGCGCGCCGAACGTGCTATTTGCGGGCGCGCTTGCGCAGCGAAGATTGCCGCGCGTCCTCTGGATATCACAAGCTCTCCTTACGGGCGTTTGATAATATTCAGCCGCCGATCGACATTCAGCCGCGCCGCTCTTTTGCATTTCGCTTCCGTCGGCCTGGCGCTCCCTCTCGGTGACTCCATTTAGCTTCGTGGTTCGCGCGCGAGAGTGTCCGCTGTGATCATCTTGATGAAATTGCTAGGCGGCTGGCCGCCTTCTCCGTCGCGCTTTCCTCTCGGTGCCGAGTGGCCGCGTGGTGTTGTTCGCTTGTTAGGGCGCCGCGCGCGAGGAAGCATGATCGCAGCCCCGATCGCGCTTTCAACGAGGGCGTTGTAATGAGAGCTTGGACGCGCTGCCGCTTGATTTATCGTAGCGCGCGCGCGCGCGCGCGCGGCCTGCGCTGCGTGTAATCGCGCGAGAGCGAACGCGCGAGAAAACGCGGAAAGAGGTACCGAGAGACTTTTCGATTCGCGTCGATCCGTCGAGCGCGAGTCGATGAACTCTTCGCCGCGTCGTCGGGCGCCGTAGGGGCATACTCGGAGCGGAATTTCAGCCTTGGAATTTCTCCGCCAACTGCTTTCGGCTGAGAATCCGCTCCTCCGGGGTGTCCTCGGTACTCTCGTGCGAAAATAAGTGTGACCTGTCGCGCCATTAATTCGTCGCAGGCACATCGCGCGGTTCTGAGATTCGACGTTTTCGCTCTTCCAACTAAAATCATGCATATTTATCGCAGCCGCCGCCCCTCCGCTCTCTCCTCACATCGCATGCAAATTACGGACGACGTTCGGCTCCGGCGAGGCACGGTTCCTTGTTACTTCGTCCCATTGTCTGCCTACATCCTCGCTTCCCGGATAAAATGCCGTAGCGCGCGCGCGCGCGCGTCGCGCTTGTGGGCCCGTCCGCCAGTCCTGAGTCATCCGCGACGAATTTTTTCACCTATTTACCGTCTAAAACCATCTACGTACTCGAGTCGCTCGCCTGGCGCTCGCAGACAAACGGCGAGCGACACAATGGCGGAGCGGAGAAAAGCTCGAGGAAGAACACTGGGAGGAGGCCTCCGTAAAGCTCCGTCTCACACCTGAAACCCGCGCCCACGTGGATGACGCGATGCGTGGTTGCGGGCGGGTGTCTCGAGTTCCTCTCGAGTCGCGCTGCGTCTGCAAACTCGTCGAGAACAATTCGAGAAAGAGGTCCTTTCTTAACACATTGTTGACCGATCACTCGTCTCTCGCTGCTCGCCGAGTGCTCTCGGCTGAGTTATCTCATGTTTCTCACAATAATCCGCGACGAGAAGAAACATGGGAAGAGCCGCGAGAGGGCAACGAGGCTCGTGAAGCAGCGTTGAGAAGAATCGGTTCAACGACGTGTAAAATTTATAGAAGACAGCCGGCGAGAAGTACACGAGAGCGGCGAA